AGTCTCTGTTCTTGGTATTTCAGATACTGTAGTGCCTCAATGCCTTTGACTTTGATGTTGCTGATGGAAAAGGAGTTGACATAGTTTTTGAAAGCAGATTGTTCGTCGGTGATGTCTGCTTTACATATTTTTTGAATGCTGATGAGTGCTTTGTTTTTGTCAATCCTCGTCCATCTGATGCCTCTTTTGGTTTCCAGTTCGTATTTTTTGCGTCCCATCGTGCGTTTAACAGTGTTGAGTTTTCGTTTCAATCTGTCGGTGAGTGGTTTTGTCTTGTCGTAGTTGTAGGTCTTCTCACCTATCTTGAGTTTCTTGACTTGCTTTCCATTCTCTTTGAGGATTTCCCCCTTTTCGGATGTCAATTGATAATCTAAAACAATCTGCTCTGAACGTTCAACCATAATACTATACCCTATATTATATAGTCATTTTATCTTTAAGTAGTTTTGGGCTGGGGTTTGGGGTTCCGGTCTTGGGCTTTTGGGTTGAACCTCAACGGGCAAACGTTCTCAACAAGAGGTGATGTTGTTGAGAAGGTTCTCTTTTTCAACACGAATTTCTTTTCCTCATACACACGCTGGTTTGGCGGTGTTTTGACAGATTGGATTTTGATGAGATGGTGCGTCCGCAGTCCGGACGCTTGAACGGAACTTTCAGGTTCTTATGGTAGTATTTTTTGAAGTAGTCTTCATCTAATGGCTTCTTGTCATAAGTTCCATCGGGTTTCCAACGCCCCTTTAGGGTCGTTGGGAGTGGTTCTACCACGTCCCATCTGCTTTGACTGTTTTGTGGGGCGTTGTTTGGTGTGTTGGGTTGGTATAGTGCTTCAACCATTTGGTCAAAGATGTCTTCCTCCATCTCTTTCTTAACTCCATCTATCACTAAATAGCAAGGCATCACTATCTTGATTCTATTATATAGGCGACTTTTCTTGGCGCGTTTTGGGTCGGGCTGCGTGTTGTTGGGCGGCGCATCCGTGCGTGGAGTGAGATGTAGTGATGGGGTGGTCCACGAAATCTTCACTCAAAACCCCTGTTCCTGCCAACCTTGAGCAAACTAGTTTAGCCGGTGAACGGATGGGAGTGATGTAAACTATTTTTAACGGCCCCAAGAGGTTATTCATATCTATGTCCATATACGGACTTATCCTACGACAGAAAGGATGGCGGTGAATGACAGTGCGCTTACTTCAGGAACTCTTCGCTCCTCATCATCACCAACCACCCTTTCTGCTATGACCTACTTATATATATATATAATCATCCTGGAGTAGATAGAATGTACTTTCGTAGGGGGTGTTTTTCTCTTTGAAAAAACTTAGAATTTTGACATCCCTTTCATTTTATGAAGACTGACCCTATAGATAGAATAGAGTGAAAAGATTCTTAGCAACTCCTCCCATTCCGGTATTTGCTTCTTTGTTATTTTTCTGTTCTGTTCCTACGTGTATTATCTAGGCTGTCCTTTCCTTTGTTCTTTTCTTTAGAACGAACAGAAAATAGAACGAACAGAGAAGGAAAAGGACAACAAAGGAAAAGGAAGAGAAGCCCCTACAACCATATTCTATCTATGGGGTTTGGAAGGGCCGGTTTTGAGGAGTGAATTATTTTTTGAAAATTCGTCCATTCTATCTACTCCAGGATGGTTATATATATATTTATGCACCAAACCCAAATTCCAAATTCAAAAAGTCAGCAGGACTCTTGGGGAACTGACCGCTGGGGTATGCTTTCGCGTCAACGCCACTATCGCTCCCCCATCCGGTCAGCCCCCTTCTCCTTCTTCTTCCTTCTCTCCATCAAAAATTTTAATCAGGAAACGCGCGAACGACACCACCGCTCCCGAACACACCAACCCCACTTCGCGATGGGAAAGAAGACGACTCTTCTGAACGGACAGGTTGAGCAAGGGATATGCGGGATATGTCTATAAAAAATAACTAGTTACATAGCTCATTGCAATATATTTATCTGTGTATCATCTCCGTGAAGTACGTAGCTATGAGACATAAAGAGGTCTCCAAAACAACTCCTTTCGTGAAATCTTTACCAGTGAGTTTGTTTGAAGGAAATGTTTGGTAAAGCCACTCCGTCCAAGTTCTGGTTGAAACGAAAGCAGATTGTCAAACTCTGGAGGCTTTGAAGCCAACTACTCCATCCAAACTCTGGTTGAAAGAAGGACGGACACCCCTTCAAGTTGTTGATGTTCCCGATGTCTTCTTAACCTCAGTGTGGGCAGAGCAAACTGAAGTGGTGAAGAAGAAATGGGACACTCCCCAAACTATCTGCCGACGATGACGCATCAAGACAAAGCATACAAAAGCAGTGTCCAGTTAGGAGGCTTTTTATCACTGGGGACGATGAATTCAAGCGTCTTTACTGTCGGTTGGATGGACTTATAGAGTGCTAAATGCCATCGGAACAATAGCCTTTCAAGCAAAGGCTTGAGGAAACGACACGGATATAGTCCAAATGGTGTCAAATTAATGACGCCAAGGGCTTCTGCGCCGTGTCAATGGGTCGTGCAATGCAAACCCCAACATCTTGTGCACTGATACTCTGTTTGGGGTATCATTGATACTTGGTTCTGGATATCGGTGATACTTGGATAGTATCGGGGTATCATTGATACTTGGATAGTGCATCAGGGGTATCGTTAATATTCCGTTTGGGGTATCATTGATACTTGGATACTGGTATCAAGCTATCATTGATACTTGGTTACGGGTATCGTTGATACTTGGATACTGGTATCATTGATACTCTGTTTGGGGTATCATTGATACTTGGATACTGGTATCAGGGTATCGTTGATACTCTGCTTGGGGTATCATTGATACTTGGATACTGTTATCAGGCTATCATTGATACTTGGTTATGGGTATGATTGATACCTGCTCTCAATTGGAGTAAGTGCTCGGAAACAAGGCAAAGTGGATGCATAAATTCTGGTGATTGTTAAGGGGTATAGTATAGTCTGCGAAACTGGGATGACGCGCGCCCCAAAAAGGATATGGCACAGTCAAGAAAGCAAGGCTGACATGACAAAGCCGAACATCTGCAAAGCAGCAAAGCGGGGCAATTTGGGGTCTCTCCAACTATACAAATACCCGCATGGTGAAACGGAATGGAAGTGAAACAACAAAGCATCCTCACCTTTTCGGAACAGGTGAGCAAATCATGCGCTTTATGTGGCTGGCTAAAGCTAATGCGACTGCAGGTGCAGCCCCTGCTCCCTCCAGCAGCTCCACCCACAGCTCCTCGGGGGCGTCCAAGATCTGTTGCCGGCTGAGATCCTTCGATATCCTTTCGGCAAAGCCCATCCGAAGCTTGATCTCCTCTTCGGTGAAGACCTTCTGGCCATCCTTTGCTCAAGGGGCTCTTCCATCCTCTCTTTCATTAGCTCTACGTCCAGCTCTGCCATTGACCTGTCATACTTCACGGGGCAGTCCCACCGATGCAAGGTTGCCCTGACAAAGTCCTCCACCTGCTCTTCGGTAAGTTCCTGCCTTGCCATCTTGTCCTCCACGAGCTTGTACATGCCAATGTTGCAACTACACTTCTGGAACAACTCCTTGTCCAAGCCTATCACACCTTGCCCAGACACCTGCTCCATGATGACCCTGTCAAAGCGAGTGCCTTGGCTCAAATTGAGCAAGGTCTGAGAGCCAGCGTCCGAGTTGCAAACGAAGATCACCCTGGCAAGGCTGTCTCGGGTGTGCTGGTTGGTCAGTGTGTTTGCCCAGTTCAGGGCTTGCAGTGGGAAGCGCTTCAGGAGCTCTTCAAACTGATCCACCAGCACAATGGCGGGCTTGGGGGCAATGGGCAGTCCCAAACTCTCCAGAAAACCAAGAAACCACTGCTTGCTTTTGTAAGCTTGCAGATTGTAAGCCATCTCGGAGCCTCCAGTTCTGGTCACGCCGAACATTTGCGTGGTCAGCCACTTATTGAAGCTATCCACGCTGTTGCCCTGTGCACCGTTGAGATAGAGGCCCTCAAGAGCCAACGGTCCCACGCGCCTATGCCGTGGGATTGTTTCGCGAAGCAAGGTAGTTTTACCTTCCTGATTTCTGCCTTGAAGGATCAAGGCACGATTCTCTGTGAGTTCCTGGTATGGTTTTATTGTGAACTTGATGACGGGGCTATGAAGCTTTCTGCCTGCATGTTTTAGGCGCCGGTGCAAGTTCCCAACAGGTGCCGCAGCAGGATATAAAAGCCTTTTTGTGACTTCAGGAACTGTAAGCAGACCTAGGAGACCCCCAACAGCTTTCACCAACTGCAGAATGATGGAACTCCTGTCCAGAACCTGCTTGGCACGCGGCACATCAAACGGCAAGGCTTTCTGACCAAAAATAGGAGCACTTCTGTCTCCAAAGAAGGATGCTCTGCTGCGCCCAACTAAAGGAGGCGGACATAGTGCATGACCGTCCACTTTGCTATGTTGCTGGACCTTTTTGATTGAAAATACTGCACCACATAATTTGCCGTGGGGCAAGTTTGAAGCTGATCCATGACAACTTGAACAGAACAGGCTGAAAGTATCAAAAAGTCCAATTCCCAGCGATGTCCAAGGCATAGGCTTGTTTAGAATGCGGAGTATGCCACTTCATCTGAAAATCTGGGCAACCGGACACCCAAATGAAGAAGTCATTGAAGTGGATGAAGCAAGCGTGGCGTCCCGAAACATAAAACCCTGTCAACACATCCCTCTCATCTGAACCAAACATTATCCCAACAACCTCAAAACATTTAGCGATAAAACAAAAACATCACATTTAGAATTACAACATTGAACAAAAGCGCAACAAGCCTAAACAATCAGCCACCTCATTGAATAACTAGAAACAGAGTGATTTTTAGCACCAAAACTTCCCCAGAACCCCCCACACATAAAACATCAACAGCAAGGAAAACACATTGAACATCAACAAAAAATCATAACAAGCAACACACCAACAAATCCTCCCCAGAACCCCCCTTTTACACTGTTTTTCCATGCGCCTCCGACGGTCGGCTGAACAGGTCCATCGAGCTGATGTGTTCCGAGGAGTGGAAGACGATGTCCTGTGCACGTGGGAGTGGAAGACAACATCACCCACTGTCTTTTCGGCCATTTTTTGAAGCGAAGAGCTCCATCTGTGGATCTGTATGGATCTGTATGGATTCTTCTTTCTTTCGGAACCGACTCCGAATCTGCCGCCCTTTCACTTCGTCACGGGACCAACGTGCGGCTCCATGTCCTCGTTCTGATGGTAGACACCATTTCGGAAGGAGCGAAATGTTGCGTGTTCGGACTCTGCCTTGGTCATCCGACCAACGAAACCAGTCTGGGCGCGAACGTGCCTTGGAAAAGTTCTATTCAGAAGCGAACGTTGGAGCTTGTAGGGTTCAAATGTGAGCCAAAGAGCATGGCTTCTACAACACGGCTCCGACATATCTGGTCTCCTTAGGTCTCGGCAACGCCAGCCCATACACGACCCTCACCAGCAGTTGCGATGGCCAAGGCTTCACCATGCACGCCGTACTCGTTGATCTCAGCAAATCTTGAGTTCTGAAAAGAATTCGTTTGGTGTTTGGCCTCGTTGTTTTTTTGCCTTATCGTTTTAACGGTGCTTTGACTAGCTAGCTGAACTGACAAACATGACGCCATGGTACATTCCTCTCTGTGCCGAGCAAGTACATGTCCAATGTATGGGCCAGTTGTGATCAGTTGCGTATACACAGGAAGGTGTTTTTTCAGCTGGCTGCATGATATGCTGTTTTGGTCATCGTTGTGATCGTTTTGGTGCCTGGTAGCACAAACAAAACGCAACACAACACCCCTTGTTGTCTTTTAGGGGAGACAAACCTGAGAAACACATATCAAGGGTTGTCCATGTGCAGGGTTATCGTTGATGGTTCTTTCTTATCGTTTTGCGGCGAATGGAGCATCCTTCTGGCAAAACGGACACGCGAAGACAAAATTTGTGAGTTGGGGAGGGTTTTAGACTCTCTCAAGTGAACAACAGGGACTACCGGGGAGGTGAACCTCCACGGTTTAGTCTTGTCTGATTTCAACCCACATCCAATTGGAACGATTCATGCCTAATGTGAAGAAAACCTTGGCCCTGACCCACTGCCCCTAAGCCAGTGGCCGAACTCCAGTTCTCGGTGCTCCACTCACAGACCTTGCCATCCTCTCCTGACGCATCCACCGCGTGCGACCGGGTGAAATCGAAGCTCGGCCCGCGCTCGGTGCTGAGAAATCGACCAACTGAGACCATCGTTTTGTCTAAGGGGTCAAAGAAGACGCAAGCCACCTGATGAGGCACAAGAGAAGACGCAAAGCTTTGTGCATGCATCGTCTTCTTCCTTCTTCTCTTCATGTTTCATGGCCTCTCTGGAATGTCCTCGCAAGGTGGCCACCTTCTTGAGGGTGCGTGTGCTGAAGATAATGATCACCTTTGCCTGAATCTGCCATCAGTCCCATCCAACAGTATCTAAGTATCATGCTAAGCGGCGTTCTGGAACTTCGATGTACATCAAATTCGAAAGGACTTCAACCAGTTGATGCTTTCAGCAAACAAATGTGAACAAAAATTCGCACACCTTCAGACTTTTTGCCTCTTTTTTCGCGTTGTCCATAAATTAGATATTGGACGGATTTGGCAGCGAAAGCCTATTTCAGTAGCGATTCTTGCCACGGTCTTTGCCACCTTTCTTGCCGCCCGACTTTCCTCCACCCTTTCGATCTGACCCCTTTCGATCTGACTTGCCACCCTTGCTATCCTTCCCATCTCTTTTTCCTTTGCCATCTCTCCCCTTGCCGCCACCCTTTCTGTCCCCACCCTTCCTGTCCCCACCTTTTCTGTCCCTATCTCCTTTCTCAGTCTTCTTGGGCCTCTTAGCTTCTTCTGCCTCCTCCAGATCAAAGAGCAAGTCTCTCTTCTCTTCAGAGGAGTCCCAAGTGCTATCCTTGCCCACAAACCTCTTGTACAACTCTCCTTCCATATGCTCACGCATCTTCTCGGGCGTAGCTGTGCAAATTTTTGTCAAGGGACAGTAGAATTTCATCTCCCCCCACTCCTCCTCTTTGGGCCTGGAGCGCTTCTTCGGTAGCGCTGGAGGGGGGGGTGCTGGTGCTTGGGGGGGTGCCGGTCTCGCCACCCGCGTTGGGAGCCGTGGATCTAGGACATCCACTTGGGCATGAGAGATACTCGGCTGATCCTCTCAGGGTGTGCTTGTAAAGTTGCATGAGCTTGTCCCCCTAGTAGCGTCCTTGCTCCTAGTAGTAAGGCCAGGAGCCCCTAGTAGCGTCCTTGCTCCTAGTAGCGATGCCAGGAGCCCCTAGTAGCGTCCTTGTACATACTAAAGAAACATTTGCATGAAAAGCAAAATAGTACGATAAAGCCACATGGATCTGGCACTCAAATCCTCCAAGACCTGGAACTTCAGGCACACAGAGAAGTGCGGCATCTCTTCCAGGGTCATCATGAAAGCTTCCATGGGGATTGAGAGCAAGGCATCTGGGTCCGGAGCTAAGGCCTCCTTCACCAAATCAAAGTTTGACACTTGCTGACCCTCCCGTGGGCCATACATTTCCTTAAGACGAGCTTTCCGAGCGATCGCCTCGTGGATCAACTTGGCTCTCAGTGGAGCTGTTTCCGCGGGCGCGTCCACGCCCGCAACGACCGACGCGCCTTTGATGGACACTAGCTCTAAGTTGGGGTTCAGTTGAAGTGCCACCGAGAGCGGAAGCGGAATTGGCTTGGTGTCAATCTCGAAATGGAGTATCTGCAGAGTCTGCAACCACTCAGGCAATTCTGTGCAAAAGCCTCCAAACACAATGGGCCTGATGCATTCCGCCTTGATGGTGTCCATGCCATATTTTGCAGTCGATTGATGCTTGCAACCAAGCAAATTTAGCAGTTGCACAAGCTCAATGCCAGCAGCTCCGCAGGGTGAGCTCATGAGGCAAGTTTCCTCTGGCCACACGACGTGGAGACTGCTGTCCCCCTTTAGGAGGAACTTGGATGAATGTAGCAAATGGAAAATAAAGTGGTGGACTCGATAAGCATACAAAGGACGGTCAGAAGTACCAAGCTCTTTGGGCACTGAGAAGCTCAAGCCAGGTAAGAAAAAGACCAACTCGTCAAAGCTACCGGCTGGGAAGCTCTTGCCGACCGTCACAGGATTCACCATGTGCCGAACTCTGCCTTTCATCACCGGCGGGAACGGATTCGCCTCCCGAGTAATGTTTTGTGTGGATAGGGCCGAACATGCTGTGAAATCGACATCTGGATAAGCTTCTTGTAGTCCTGCAGCAAAGAGGAAGGTCTCGTCACCCAGCACCAAACTCTTAGGCTTTCCAGAGTCTGGCTCCGGTGCTAGCGGTGCTAGCGGCACTGGTGGTGCAGCCAGCGGCGGCGGTGCTGGCGCTGCAGACTTCGAGGGAGCTGAGGTTACCAGTGCCGCCGCCTTTGATGGAACCTCTGGAGGTGCCTTGCTCAGAGCAGGGGCGCTCTCCGGCACACTCGGGGCTGCCTTGGACAGAGCCTCAGGAACAGGCAAGGAAGCCTTTGACAAAGCCTCAGGAACAGGCACTGAAGCCTTTGACAAAGCCTCTGGTACCGCCTTGGATGGAACTGCTAGTGATGAAGCTTTGGATGGAACAGCCTCTAGGGCAGCCTCTGCCATGAGGCTACCCAATCTAATTTGACCCAAAACCGCTGCGGAAAAGGGCACAACTCAGCTAGCGTTTGCTCACAGTGTGGCTCTTGTTTGAGTCCCACCCAACAACGTCTTGCAAACATGACACACAATCAAGGCAATCAAGCTCTTGCTTCATCAATGTGCTAGATTCTAGACTCGGAGCCACAAACGCATCTACGACAGAATACAGGGAAGTCCATCCTACCTGTGCAGCTGCCAAAACGTGGCCACCGTTTGAGAAGCGGAGCAGGTGAACGTTCCTGCACAAAATCCATGACATGAAAGATGCAGAAGCAACGCCGGCAAAGCTGGATGTTCTGAGAAAGTCTGCGGAGCTTTCAGCTGGAGTGAAACCCGACACTTGAGGCAGTGGCTTGATATTGATTTCGGAGAAGAGCTTCAGACTGGCAAAGATCAAAGCCACCGAAAAGTGACTGCAGATCAAACCACAAATGCAATCTGCCACATAACCAGGGGGAAGTCTTCAGATTCAAGTTAGTACCGATCTGAATTCCTGTTTTGTAGATCAGTCTTTGAAGCCCGCTGAAAGGACTGACGGTCGACTCATTCAAGATCATGCCATGTTGTACTCTTTGGCCAGGATTTCCATGAGGCGAATCCTGCACCAGGTTTCTGGCTGTGTCGTTGGAGGATTTGGACGGCAAACCATGTCGATCCTATCACTAAAGCTCACAGCAAGGAGGAAGCCGAAGGGATGCAACGCCAGACCTGAGAATGCATGTTCTCAGGCACAGTCGCTCGCATGTTCGGTTTGGTGAGGTTGATGTATTTAAAAAAGGACTTTGGTGATTTTTGTCGCCAAGATTATATAATTAGATATTTTTCGAACCCTGTCACTGCCGGCACAAGCTCAGCACAGCGGTCAAAAGGAGGAAACATAGAGCCCGCTATGTGTTCCGTTCCGAGAGGCAAACAGAACATATGAGTGTGGATGACTTAGAGACCCCAAAAGCTTTTCCTCTACTTCCTTTATCTTCCTTTCTACCTAAGGCCATGGCCCTCGGGCCTTAGGTTAGGGTTGATTTACCCAAGCCCAAATTTACCCAAGCGTGACATGCTAAGTCTGGCAGTTTCCTCCGGCTTCGATCTTCCAAGGTCCGCACTGGTCAGTTCTTCTGTGGCTTGCCAGCCTGAGTCACACTGCTCGCAGAAAGCGCCTAACTGGTCTTCGTGCATAACTGGTCTTCGCTTAGTGAGGTGAACTTGTCAAGAAGTGCCAAGCAGCAAAGGCTGCACTCGCCAGCTTGGTAATCCCAAACCTTGGTCATCTTATGTCATCTCTTTCTTTGCTTCTGGTTTGGAGGGCTTCAGGTCTCCAAGTTCTGCCTTGCTCAAGGCCCCCGGCTCGAATGGTCCCATCTTGGCCTTAGGTCGGCTCGATCGGGTCTCTGAATGGTCTGACTGAACGTCCCGGACTCGTCGGTCCGGAAAAACCTGTCCAACGTAGTTAATCTCAGTCGGCATTTGTCGGTTCCGCACTGCAGGCGGAGACCACAATCGGTCGCTGCACGGCAATGTCTAGATTGGACACGGGGCCTGGCAACTCTGGAAGTTCAAAGGCACAAATTGACCCTTCAATAACAGTGTCATTGGAAAATTTGACCCTTTCAATCCCCATTTGAACGCCTCTGTGTTCATGCTAAGAAAAGCAAGCATCTCAATTCATTATCGTATTGCATGCGTTTCATTCGTTATTATATACTCAAATATTAAAACCCTTCGTGCAGGTTCTTCCAAAATTCAGAATAAAATCACGGAGCCAAAACTGGACAAGGCATGACAAGGCAAATTTCTTCAAGGCGTACCTGAGTGGCAGCCTCCCCCAATGAGTGGTAGGTCCTCAACCTGGGCATGCAGAAAGTCGCACGGGTGTGAAACATGTCCTGTACTTTCAACACCAACCTGTCGGTACTGGAGAAACTGTATCTGCAGCCTACAAGCAGGTTCGCTTCTCATCTCTAACGCTGGCAGCGTGGCTGGCGAAGATGGCACAACATCTCCAGCACGCAATATACCCAGGCGGAAGTGGGTGATATAGGCGTTTTCAAAGCCAACAGCGGCATAGACCTGTTGGAAGGCTTCAATGAGCTCTTGTGAAATTTGAACTGTTCTCTCGAGATGACATCGTGTCCGTCTTTGACAGTGAAATTTGTGTAAGGTTTGATTCCTTCCTCAGTGTCTTGAACTCTATAGTCCAAAGTCTAAAGGCTTCGTCGATGAGAAAGGAGGTTTCTCCACCTCAATGTTCAAAAAAACCTCTGAATGGTGTTTTGTTACACCACAACAACCACAAAATTTGGGCCTCGTCGCGGCTCCCGACCAAGTCCAGCTCGGCCACTGCTGAGCCTGCACCCAAGGCCAAGCAAGCTGTGCAGTCCTTAGCTGTCAGAGGACACGCACAACTTCAGACTGTTGTGGCTCATGAGCCAGGTTCACTTGCACCAGTGAGAGCTTCCACCTTTGCAGAAAACTGTGGACTTGGGGCATGGCATGCTTGTAGGATGGCCCGCCCAGCAGGTCGTCATGCGCTTCACCCTGCACCAAGAAGATGTGAATCCACTCCAGGCAAACAAACCATCCTCAATCTACAAATCCCGCCAAATCACAAGAGCCAAAGAGACCCACAAGAATTCAACCGATTCCTCATCATTCTATAATTTCCTACAATCTACATATAATATTGTGAATTTGCAAGCAG